ACCACACTCGTCGTTCCATCGCCAACTTCTGCATCTTGAGCCCGCGCGATGTCGACCAAAGTTCTAGCCGCAGGATGGACGATATCGAGCAATTTGAGGATTGTCGCGCCATCGTTAGTGATCTGAGCGTCGCCCCTGTCCGACACAATAAGCTTGTCCATTCCCCGCGGTCCGAGGGTGCTGGAAAGCGTTTCTGAGATAGCAAGACATGCTGCGATGTTGGAGAGTAGCTGGGGGTTTCCCTGGGACGTATCTGTGCCCTCCCGGAGGAGGACAACGGTGGGTTGCTGTAAAACAATTTAGGGACGCCTGCTCCAGCGTTCAAAATGCAATCCGCACCATCGGGAGCCCGCGTTGCATTTTTGAAGCAAGGTTAGAGGAAAGTGGTCAGTTTGCAGATGCTTGGCAACAGCTTTCGGCGTGACATAACGCGTTGTCACGCCCATTAGACGCGTTTGAAACTACCACCATGTCTGACGCGCGTACTCCATTGTTCTTCGCCGGCTCGGACGACGAAGACGAGGATGTCGTTATGGATGCAGAGGAACCCGTTGCCTCCAGCTCGAACCCTCCGTCAAGAGCTTCGTCGCGTCTCTTTTCAGAGGAGGGCAGCGACGACGAGAAGCCTATTGCGGAAGTCGCTAATTCTCAGAAGCGACCCATCTATGTGGAGGATGATTCCGATAGAGAGGAGACCAAGCCTCTCCCTGTCAAACAGGAGAACGGCTCTAAAGCATCCCGTAATGTTTCCGAAGCCCCACCTCCCAAAAAGCGCCGTATATCGTCGCCGCCTCTGCCAGAGGCTCCACCTACCTATATTGGTGAAATGGTCTTTGGACATGCCTGGAGCAACGTATCGGGCAAGGGCTATATCAAAATCGGCGACGAGGTCAAAATCATGCGAGAGCCCAAGGAGGACTCCAAGAAGGCCGGAAACAGCAAGACCGCGCCGAAGGGCAAGAAAACTGGAGATGGCAAGAAGCAGATGTCGCTCACAGCTATGATGAAGCAGCCCGCCAAGGGGTTCAAGAACAAGAAGACCGACAATATTATTCGCCTCTACAACTCCCGCGGTTTCGGTACGCTATAGCTCTAGCACGCGTACCACTCGTTCACGGTTGTACAGAATTTGGCCGCCTTCCGCAGGATGCATCCTCATGGATGGCCAAACTTCTCGATCTCGGTACGTCCACGATGTCCAAGTCAAGTCGAATAACATCTGAGCTGGTGCAGGCATTGTCGAATTCCGGGGCAAAATGCTCGACTGCCCAGAGAAGCTCTCCACCGGCGCCACCCTCATCATAACCGCAGACGTCTACATGCTCCCCGCCGCCTTCAAGCCCGCCAACCCCGATCTCGACGACAAACCCCCGGTCATGTTCTCCGAGGGCGCCGAAACGCTGGACGAACAGACGCTGCGCGAGCGCAAGGTGTCCATCTTGAAGCTGTTCGACGTCCTCGGGCTGCGGCCGCAGGCGGGCGCCAACTTTGTCGGGCGCAAGTCCGACGAGCAGATCCACGAGGAGGCGCTCAAGAAGATGGCGGCGCGCAAGCCGAAGAAGGTGACGGAGATCGTTGGCGACGGCGAAGAGATCGAGGTGGAGGAGGACGGGGAAGAGCTGACGGAGAACGACCTCGACATGATCTACCACAAGGCGCAGAAGAGCGACCGCACCATGGGGGAGATGGAGCCCCCGGATACGTTCACGTTTACGCTGCGCGGGTATCAGAAGCAGGCGCTCTTGTGGATGCACTCGCTTGAGCTGGGAAAGATGGATGCGCGCGAGGCGTCCTCCATGCACCCTTTGTGGAGCCAGTAAGCAAGCATCCATTCTTGGTCGTTACTCGCGTTCACCTTGCTCCAGATACGCGTTCCCACACCCCCACGACGGCGGCGTCATCGACTTGACTGCCGACGAAACACCCTTCTACTTCAACCCGTACTCGGGCGAGCTGAGCCTAGAGTTTCCCAAGGCAGAGAGAAAGGGGAGGGGAGGAATTCTCGCGTTCGTCGTTCATTCGCTATCCTTCGTTCCCTCTCTGACTCTCCTCCAAGTGACGGTAAAGTCTCTTCATATTACGTTGCTTGCGCTGAACATCATAATTCAGAGATGGGCATGGGGAAGACGTGCGCCTTGTTTCCTTAGACAGCAGTGCATCCCTAACATCCCGCGCAGCATCGAACTAGCCGCCCTCATCCATACTAACTGTGCCCCCGACACCGAGCGCCCCGCACAAGACGCCGCCCCCGCTACGAAGCACCGCCAACTGAAGCTGAACAACGCCTTCAAAAAGCTTCCGCGCCGTAAAGCCCAAAAGGCTCCGTCCGCCACGCTCATCGTCGCCCCCACATCGCTGTTGTCGCAATGGGAGGGCGAGCTGCAGCGCTGCAGCAAACCCGGGACGATCACGGTGCTTCTCTGGCACGGCCAGAACCGGCTCGACTTGGAGGACGTGCTGGAGGAAGACGACGACGACGACGACGGGGACCGCACGATCAAGGTCATCATCACGTCGTACGGCGTCCTCGCCTCGGAACACGCCAAGTCGGAAAAGTCGACCTCCAAGTCCCCTGTATTCGAGAGTTCGTTGTCTGCTTTCCGCCCCTATTGGTACTTATGATCAATCCATTTCAGTCGAATGGCTCCGCGTCGTGCTCGATGAGGCCCATTCGTGCAAGTCACGCTCTAGCAAGACCGCCAAAGCGGTGTATGCACTTAATGCTCGGAGGCGATGGGCTGTGACGGGTATTTCATTCGCAGACGGAGCGCATACGGAGCTGACATTTCACTACAGGGACCCCGATTGTCAACAAGCTCGAAGACCTCTACTCCTTGTTGTTCGTCCCGTCCTCTTGCTCGCCGCAACCTTGCTGACACAAAACAGGAAATTCCTTGACTTCAGGCCATGGGCCGACTTTTCGTTCTTCCGCTCGTAGGCCCCGATTTCTTGTTGCGTCGACTCTGGTTAATCGAAAACAGGTTCATTACGCTCCCCTTCCTGGCCCGGGATCCCAAAGCAATAGAAATCGTCCAGATCATATTAGAATCCATCTTGTTAAGACGAGAAAAGACGATGTTGGATACTAACGGGAAGCGGATAGTCGAGTTGCCCCAGAAGGAGGTGCGTGGATATGTCTTCGTGATGCGGTTGGCGTTGAGTTTCGTGCCAGGTTACCGTGGAGTATCTCGAGTTCTCGAACTTGGAGAGAAAGATCTACAACAGCCTGTTCAATTCCGCCAAGCGCGACTTTGAGCAGCTCGATGCGAAGGGTCTCATCGGGAAGAACTACACGCATATCCTGGCGATGCTCATGCGGTACGTCCTTTTCGTTGGAGTAATTGGCGTTCTCAACAAGATCTGGCAGGCTGCGGCGCGCCGTGCTGCATCCGAACCTAGTCCTCGCCTCCGACGACCAGCGCGCGCTGCCGGAGGACGGCGACGGGAGCGTGGACGTCAACGAGCTGATCAAGCGCTTCGCACAGAACACGAACAGCCAGACGGGCGAAGCCAGTGCCAATGTGTTCGCGCAGAACGCGCTGGAAAACCTCGACCTCGACGGCGCCGACTCGGAGTGCCCTCTATGCTTGGACGTCATACAGTCGCCCATGGTCATCCCCGAGTGCATGCATCGCTTGTGGGCCATACTTCTATTCGTACATGGAGGAATGTCTCTCACCAACCATACACACCAGCTGTAAAGATTGCATCGTCGCGCATGTCGCCAACTCGGACGACTCCAAGTGCCCGAGTTGTGGGCGCGGGCCCATTCAGGTCCGTTGCGATGCGTTCCTGCCCGGCGTTCTAATAATATATGACCCGCAGGAAACCGACCTCATCGAGCTCTTCCGGCCGCCGACCAGCTCGCAGGACCCACAGCCCAGCGTCCTTCTCCGGAAGAACGACTTTCGCTCGTCGACGAAGCTCGATGCCTTGGTCGCCAATCTGCGTACGTCCGACTGGCAAGGGACTTGAAGATATAGGTCTTATGCTCCTTCCAGGAAAGCTGCGCGAGCAAGACCCGTGTTTCCGCGCCGTGGTATTCTCGCAGTTTACGTCGTTCCTGGACCTTATCCAGGCCGTGCTGAAGCGCGAGCGCTTTGAGCAGTACCGGTTTGATGGCTCCATGGACGTCAAGAAGAGAGCGGCGGCCCTTGATGAGTTCAGGGCCCCGACGCGGAAGCCGAAGGTGTTGATCGTGAGCTTGAAGGCCGGTGGGGTGGGCTTGAACGTGAGTTTGCTGCGGTGTTTCGTGGTGGCTACTTAAGATACCTCTCGCAGTTGACGACGGCCAATCATGTGTTCATGGTGTGTGGGTCTTTACGGGGTTGATACAGCACTAACCAGTTGTTCAAAGATGGATTGCTGGTGGAACGCCGCAACGGAGAACCAAGGTAAGGTGTTTTCCGACGCCCTCGCTCTAAACTGACTCTGAAAAGCCATCGACCGCGTCCACCGAATCGGCCAAGAAAAGACGGTCTACGTGAAGCACTTCATCGTCAGTCCAGGCAGCGCCTCTGTCTCGTCGTACTAACGCTGCGCAGGTGTCAAACACAATCGAGGGCCGCATCCTCCGCATACAGAAACGAAAGACGGCCATCGTCAAGGAGGCGTTTCGCGGGAGCGGAGGAGGAGGGTCTGCGCGCACAGACCCGGAGAGCATCGAGAACTTGAAGATCATATTCGGGGAGGAACCTGACGCTTCGAGCGATGACCTTTGAAAATTATCTTTTCCTCTGAACTCGAGGTTAATCGAAAACCACAATTTATTTAACAACTCAGAGGCACGATACGGCAGGCTCGAGAATTCTCCGGTGGGATAACTGGTCTGAAGAGCTGAGAGGGTCCTAACAACCCACAACACTACAACACTCTTCCAATTTGAGAAATTCCCAAGGCATGCAAGCAATGTCAACGGTGTGCAGCGTCCGCTCGGTAGGATTTAGGAAGGGTGAAAAAAGGTCGGTGTTGAAGGTGAGACGAAAGAGAGAAGCAAAAGATGATTGGAGTGGGATTCGAACCCACGCCCCGGAGGACCAGATTACCAATATAAATCAGTAAGCTTCACTTCAAATTGAAGCTGATCCTTAGTCTGGCGCCTTAGACCGCTCGGCCATCCAACCAGTTAAAAAGCCATTATGTTAAAAGGTTTTCATGACATTACCAAGTGAGGGTGTCATTTAATTTAATTGGCAATTCGAGAAGGGAGATGTCGATTACAGCGCTCTGATGTAGATGAAACAATATGAATATCTAATATTGTGTGTGCACAAGTGAAGGGGGGGGGGGGGGGGGGGGGGGGGGTTGGTGCAACGGAACTCCATATACCAAGTACTATTTCATTTTTCTTTCTCTTTTATTCTTTACGCTCGACTGTGAGCAGTCCGAAGCCCGATTAGTTAGTTCCGATTAGTCCGATGTATTACGTATATTCGCTGTCACTTGTGACGGTGCCAGCGAGCAGAATGATTATCATCTTCACACCCAAACCATCACCTACACCGCCATTCGAGACTTATGTGTGGCAAACATTGAAGCCCGATAATTTGTGAATATTTTTGAGCATGTGTCAAAAAGGTTGTTGTGAGGTCTCCGAGACATTTGAAGCAGAACATTGCTGAGACATTCTCGTAAGGTTGTAATAACATTGTTTGGAGGTTAAATATACATTGACTAAAATATTCGCAGTACATCAGGTTCTACCGGAGAGCCTTCTATCGTGGACTCATTTGGTAAAATTCGGGGTGTGTACCACCACCATGTGTGCAACTCACTTATAAGGTCTCAAAAAGCTATTAAGATTAAGGCAGTCACCGCGGGGAAAAGTGAACGTAGGATTGATGTAGGATCCTCCACCATTGTGCGGAGTGCTGAACTGCCAACTGGATTCAGCGTTTAATTTATGTCGCAGGAAAGAAAGTTAAAGAAATGCATTGAGACATGATCCGTGTTTTCAATGTTGGATCCGTGCGCAGAAGCCCATCAAATGACAAACAAGTGTCAATGCTGGCCTTGCGATCAGTCGTCTCTTTTGCCTCCCTCCTCCATAGTCTTGCCGTCCTGCAGCCTTTGATGGCCTCGACCTTCAAGCTCACACCTCAAGCTCCCTCCGAGGCCATCTGCATGCATTGCACCATTCAATGCAATGCCGTACCGTTGCATCAAGCCCACCGACTCCGAGCCTGCATGGCATACAAGTAAGCTTCCGGTCGCAAGCATGTGGCTCAATGCTGCAGACCACCCATCAACTTCAACAGACTCCTTTCCTTCCAAATTGATGACTGGCTCCCAACGTCCCTCTAAGCTTAAGCCTCAAATCTGCCACCCAAGGCCTCAAGTGTGTGCCGATTGTTCAAACTGAAGCTACACTCACGGTTCATTCAAGCTTGTCTGTTTCCTTCCACCTGTCACTACACTTCTGTCTCCTGTGTTCGTGATGGATTCTGGGATGGATTCACATCCCGGTGTTGCGCTCCCGCTGGTGAGAGCGGTGATGCAGGCTCTTTCTCAGCATGCCAAGATCTCCTTGCCGAGGTCAGTGTTTCTCGTCTCCTCCTGCCCTCTGCATCTACTAACCCCAATGCAGGATTTCACGAACACGCCTTCCACGTGCACCCAGGCACGGTCGACACACCCGTCCTTTGCGCCTCCCCATCTTCACTCTATGTACGTTGCCCCATCATTCCCATTCTCCTAATATGCACCAAGAGCATGTCCGTCTGCAGGGGGCATCAACTATACACATTGCTGCAGGTGCTTGAGGTGTGTTGCTTGCCCTCATTTATTTTCATTCCGCTTGCTGAGGGTTTCCCCAAGTGCCGGCGGGCGCATCGCACGTGGGCGCGATGTCGACGGCATTGGGCTGGGAGAAAGGCAGATGAATTTTGGGAGGAGGACGGCCGTGGGCTGTGGTGCAGAGCACAACGGGTGGCATCATTTCTGTATATTGTGTATATTATAGATAGTTGCAATTTTATTTTGCTTCCCCGTTCAAATACATTGTGGCAGTGGTACATGATGGACAATGTTCCTCAAATACGGTCGGAACATTCAAGAAATGTTGTTGAGAATGTCCCAGAATACTATGTTGAGGAAGCCTCAGGGAATTGACGTTTATGAATTTTGACGATGTTCACGGCAACATTTGGCAAGCATCCGGCGACCATCTCAGGATATTGTCAACAAAACATTCTGACAACTTTTTTACAAAAGGCGGTGTACCTGCTCAAGGCTTTCCTCGTAGAAGTGTAAGGTAGACCCCATCCACCTTCAACAAACATCACGTGGTCTGATGTGACAGCTTCCTCTCTCGGATGATTCCAGTAGATAATTCTGTAAAATAATTACTAGACCTCATTCGGCCAAATCCTTCGACCAGATTCCGGATATGAGTCTGATAGTCCCTCCCCATCAAAAATATATGGTCGAGACCCCTGATTTGGTCCCAGAATTAGCCCATCTGTCAAGGAATTTGTCCAAATCAGTTACCACGTAACTTTGCTATCATTCCTTAATTGACCAGCGCAGAGAGGCCAGAGAGCCATAATTATTTCTCTATAAGTAGTTTATATGTATATGCATAATCTGGTCAGAGTGATTTGTCCTGGAAGCCTTCGTTGTTTCAAAATAAAATGATTTGTCTATGTGAGCCCGAAACGGAAGTGTGACCGGAACGACACGTGATGTTTATCAAAGGTGGATGGGGCCTACCTTACCTCCGAGAAGAAGCCTGCAAGCTTAAGGTGAGTTTGTCTAAATCTACACTAACTCATATTCTCAAACCTACTGTTCGGGATCAGTGCGATCAACTAGATCGCACTCGCAGACTCGAAGCTTCCTGGAGGGATCTCCGCGAAGCAGAGCGGCCATTAAGGGTACCAGGTATCCAGTCCCATACATTAGCTCGTAGAGAGTCTGCACTAGACCGTTCTTTGGAAGGTCTTTACCACATTGTGTAGCTAGATCGCCCGCCAGGCTTTACGGACTATAAACCCCTTGCGTAAGCTCTTGAGGCTTTACAGTTGGGCCGCTTTGAGGTCGGCTCGCAAAGCCATGGATGCTCCAAAAGTGGGCAGGAGAAAAAGGAGTGCACAAAGTGTCCCAACCCCTTTGCATGCAAAGTGACATAATATTAGAAATAAAATGACGGGGGTTACAATTAGGGATCTGTGCCATCAAAATTAAGCAATGAGGAGTCTACCGGATGTCCATTAGTTGAAGCAAATACATGCTTGTGAGAAGACCAGGCGGAAGTGATACAGCTGGGAAGGATTTGTTCGAGGCATCACCAGTATGAGGAAACAAAGTGAGGTCCAGCCACTAAGCTTCATGACAACCTCGGGCATCACCAAATGGGCAGAGATCTGCTATGCCCTGATTTGGAATGTCTTGGCTGATGGGCCTTGGATGCGAACACCTGGCCGGATATGCCTTTGCATGGCTTTCATCTAGCCAGGTATCCGCCATACAAGGGATACCTGGCCTGGCGCAGGCATATAAGGTACTGCCGGGACTTTCAGGCACATATGCCAGTCTGCTACCACCTGACTCCTGAGCAATATATATATATTATATGGATAATATGAGCACAGTGCAACTTGCAGCCGTTTTGTCAACATCTCCCCCCTACCTGCGACTCGGCCTGGCTCAGGCCAGGGACTTGTTGCTGTCTCAGCTGTGGCTGTGTGGCAGCAGTCGTGTCACGACTGCATCAATCTTTCATCATTGATGTGGTCTGTGTGCAATCAAGCAAACAAGGGACAATGTTTGTATCATCATGACATTGCTCTTGTCTTTCCACACCATCTCCCTCCATCTCCTCCCTTGCCCACCGCCTCCCTGCAGCAGCCTGAAGCTCGAGGTTGCCCTCCTGGGTCCTCTACCATCTTCAATATACTCAATTAGCCTTCCCAGCTGCAATGTGAACCGGCACCTTGTTCCACATCAAGCCCGACACTGTTGAGCCCTCATCCAAGCATTCTTCAAGCACCTCATACCTCACTGGGCATCTTGCAGACCTGGGTCTTGCAGCAAGAAAATACTGTGGTACCCGAGTCGTCCTCCATCAATCAAGCTTGTGCAAGCACTTGTCTCGCAAGCCATCCTCCATCTCCTTATCAAAGCGCCGCTCAAGCACTGTTTCCTTCTTCAAATTGCCTCCTCAAGTGGCACCATAGGCAATGCTCACGGCCTGGGTTCCACACTGCAAGGGATCGCTGGTGCTGACTGATGAGTATTTTTGTCCTTGGGCGTGCCGCCGGTATCGCGCTGCTGTTACCAGTGTCTGCGACCCCCCACCGATGTATAGATATAGTATATAGTCAGATGAATGCAATTTAATTTTGCCGCAATTTTTGTTTTTATCCAATTTTATCTGGAATATATCTGCCATGAGTGTTAAGTACTAGAAGGCTTTATGAGGCCTTCCAAGGGGCGCGATGCCTTTCAAAGGCCATCAGATTCAGGACAATCACCTGGCTGGGTGATCGTTAGGCTCTTTTATAAGGCCAGTTACCACCTTGGGGCCTTGCCGGTGTTTCCATGCCTTCCAAGGCCTTATGTGGCCATTATGTTTCATGCGCTTTTGGTGATGGGCTCAACACCTGCAACGAGGAGCTCAATAGAGCCACCCATGTGGTAGCTATGACCAAAGATGGCCAGGAGGTGAGCAGCAGTGTATGCAGCAGAAGTGGTGCAGCGGACATTGTCCTTGGTGAGCGGGCACCAGGTGTTATGGGTGCAGAAGGAAAGAGGGGTGCAAAAGGAGGTGGGGAATGGTTGATGGAGAGGTGGTTCTTGAATGCCCACACTGGGCAGAGGCCCACATTGTCTCTGATGACTTGCATGAGGATGCATCCCTCCAAGAATGGTTGTCGTCTTCGTCCAGACGAGGTGGAAATCAATGACCTTGTGCCTGTTGATGATGCCAGAGGAGGTGCGTGTCTCACAGCAGGTTTGTGCTCGAGGGAGAGCTTGTTGGCGCTCTTGATGACAAGCTCGCCCATCCAGCAGCAGCCCCCAGTAGCTGCTGTTGCCGATGACCAGATGGCCGCATCATGGCCTGTCACCAGATCAAGGGAGGTGTGTAGACATGCAAATGTGCTTTCATGATGGGGCCCCACAGTGCACGTTTGAAAGGGACACCTCGCGATTGCCAGCCTTCTTGAGCAAGGGCAGCCAGTCCTCCTCGCCGTGCCACTCGGCGTCATTGAAGAGGTGCCAGAGACACAGCCTGTTGAGCCAGTTTCTCAGACACTTCCCTGAGTGGAGGCCAACACCTTTGGCAATTAAAGCGGCAAGGAGCTGGTCAGCGTGCATCTGTGTGCACTCGCCAATGCAAAGGCAGTTGCAGAACTGGTAGAACCAACAGGAGGCCAGTGCCATAGGCTTTGTGAGTCTGCTCAGTGGTGGCATGAAGCAGAGCCTCGTAGATGCACGCTTTGAGGTGGGGGCTAATGCCGGCACCCAGCATCCGGAGGTGGAAGTTGATGCAGAAGGGTGATGTCCAGAGCAAGACATGGCAGTCCACTGGGACATGCAGGTGATAGATGCTCAGCTCAATCTTGTTGCTGTCCCAGGGCTTGTGAGCACGCTTGGTGGGGAGTGAGAGCCGGCCAAGCTGCGTGGGTCCAGATGGATGTTGTTGTTGTTGGAGATTGATGGCCGCATCACAATTATTGATCCAATCAGCTGACATCAGTCAGCCCGAGCTTTCTCAGTCAGCAACTGAAGGACCCAGAGTTAAGTAGAATATTACAATAATAATAGGTATATAAGCTGTAGTAGTTAGCCTCAATACCTTACAATTTTTACCCAGTCACCTAACAGCGCAAGTGTCAAGCTTAAAGCTTCGGCTAAATCACCAACAGTTGTACGCCAGGCTGTGCAGCGTCAGAGCTGCTCAGCGCGAGGACAACCACTGAGCCAAAGGGTGAGGCAGGGGTGGATGTGGTGGGAAAAAATGGATGATCAACGAAAGTGAGTGATGAAAGGCTAAAAAGCCTGTTGTGGGTTAGTCGAGGCGGCATATGTGATGGTGCAGCTATGTACCTAGGACAGGCATGGGTTCAGTATGTGGAGCAAGGATTGTGCATGGGGCATGGGGAGAGGGGGCGCTGGAGAAATGACCATTACTAAAGTGACAAGGCACAATGGATGGTAATACCAGTTATCTCAATGAGAAGATGGTCTGTGATGGGGTAAAACAGAGGTGGGGGCAGAAAAAGAGGCTGAGGACTGCGAGATGGTCTGTAGGCATGCAATATGACTCGCCCAACAGAAACATACCTGAAACTTGCGAGTTCGGGCTCATGCGACATGGAGAAATATGGTGTTCGGGGCTGCATAGTATAATGGTAATCAGCACCCCTGGTCTCTGAGTACATTGGAGATTACCAGGCCTTGCTAAGGTCAAGGGTTCAAACCCCGGTGAAGCCATCCCAGGAGGGTTCTAGCGGGTATTACCAATTTAGTTTGGTTGAGTCCCACACTGTTCAGCATCTGCTGCTCGTGTGTAAAAGCATTCCCACCTTTTGGAGTAGGGTCACATATCCCCTACATTTTTTGCAGACTCGAGGGGCCAATACATTATTAGTTGTTGAAGGTCATAACAAACACACCTCCAAAATAAAATAAATAAATAAATAAAGTACAGTGTTTGCTTAGACGTTGCCAGGGACGAATAGTGTGGTGAGTTCGAGCAGCAGCTTGAACTCACGCTTGAGTCGGTCATGGAGGGGAAAGGAAAGAATGCCGCAAGAGGGGCTGTCAGCTAGATTTAGCTGAGACTCAATGTAAATCAGCTTTGGGACAATCATGTGATGGGCCATGATGGTATACGCCTGATGCACACATAGATTCATATGAATATTGGGGCTCCTCCCCTTTGAGAGGGCACCGATAGTGGCCTTGTTGTCTGAGTGGATGAGCAGGTGGATGTCATGATAGCTGAGCTGGGCAAGGAAGTGGTACAGCAGCTCAATGGTGATCACCTTGAACTAGCAGATGTCCTGCCCCTCCCGCTTCCACCCGCTTACCAACCTGAATGTGTACCACTTGCACCTGATCACAATGCCAATGCCCCAAAAGGTTGATATGTCCACATAGATCAGATGGTTTTGAAGTGGTCCAATGCAGTGCAGTGGTTGGAACACATGCACATCTTCAAGGTGGCAGTGCCACCACTTGAGCATGTCGAGGATGAAGGAGGAGAGGAAGCGACAGGCCGTTGCGCTGCCATGGTAGAAAGACATGGCGTTGGAGAAGACAGGGAGCTGTGAGGGGCTTTCCCTATAGATGAACACAATGTGGCAGGGTGTGCCATGGAGCTCCTGCAGCTCATTGAGGAGGAATTTTTTCTTCAATCTTGTGACACTGTCGATGAAATCGTGAACACGTGCGAGGTATTTTAGGTGCTTCGGCTCGGATAACATGATACGCTGGTTTGTAATGTCCCAAACAAACCCGAGGAGGATAATGGAGTCCTCAAAATGCTCACCCGACTTGACTGGGTGCCTTGGAATGCTGAGCAGGGCGATGAGTTGAAGGGAGGTGTTACAGTCAAGTCAGTAGCAGAATAGACCATGGGAGAAAGAGCTGACGTTGTTGAGGATGTGGAACTTGGCAAGGTTGTCCTCATAACCACAAGTCTTCACATCGGCTCCTCCCTCGGCTCTCCAGATGTCAATGAGTGCCCTGTATATCTGGCCAGCATTGCTGCTGGCTGACACTGTGCCACAAGGGTGGCAGTGGTCGAGGAAAAGGCCGCTGTCAAAAGATGCGACAAGGAAGGTTTTTGGTCAGGCAAACTGAGCAAGTCCAGTGGAAAGCCTTGATGTCAAAAGTGCACGCTTGCATACCACACAGCACTTTAGCGATCTGTGGGCATGTAAACATATGGAGGCAATGCAGCGGTCTGTGCTGATGCGATGTGGAGGCCAGGAGGTGAGATGGGGATGGAGGCAAGATGTGTTGGCCTCTGCAGTGGCAGAGGCAATAGATGGATGGGGAAACACCTGTTAATGCGAAAGGAGAGGACTCACCAAGGTAGCAATGTCAATCTCAAAGTTGAATTTTGTCAGAAAATCTGCTTTGTCAATAAACAAGTTGACCGAAAGGTGACCTGAGGAGACATCATCCTTGGAGAGGTGTCAGCAGACACATTTTTTCAGTTCCAAACTGTCATGATTCGCTTTTCAGATCCCAAAGCCAGATCAAACCGGATTATGGGAGCCCGTTAACCCATGATTGCATCCCTATATGTTTCATTTTAACTACTTTCCAGCTAAACCCCTTTATGTTACACATAGGGTATATTACAATCGGACTCCTAGATACAGTAGTATATAAACCCCAGGTAGAATCCCCTGTACTTTAGATTCTACCTCGTCTATTCACTGATTCACCAGCCTTGCTTTGGCCTGTTCTTGACCTGTGTTCAGCCTAAGCTTTCTCTGCTTTCACTATTTGGTTGACTCAGGTTTTCCTCTCTCCACTTTGTTCTGCTGGTAGACCCTTGTCTCCTGTTTCAACTCCTGTCTCGGATCTATCTCGAATTCCATTGACGGAGCCTGGTCGTGGGTTGTAGGGTTGCGAAGGACTAGCCTACGGAATAACGCTGGTGTCAAGACTCTCAGTGGCATGGACATGGAGTCTTGATCATGTTCAAGGTTAGAGGGAGACAACCACCACCACGATAGCTATTCCTATGTCTCTCGGCATTAGAGCATAGAGTCCGAAGGAGCTTCTGTCAGATATCCCTGGATCCTCCCTCCCGTTTGCTGGTCTATAATCAACCCATGTGTGTCACCTCATAATCCCGCTGGTAATCCCATTGGGATATGCCCCACATCGGTTCAATTATCCTGGGCCCGTCAGGACTACTTCAACCACAATCTAGCCTCTGGTTGAACTACTCCTGGGAGTGATCCTTGGTCGTCGGCTGTTCATGTGTTCACCACAAACGGTCAGTTCCTCTCAACACCTGGGCTAGGACCTGTGGTTCTGTTGTGCTTGGTCGCAGACAGGTTGACTCAAGGGCGTCGTTGGCACAAACCCTGGCCTTGTTCCTGGACAACAATGAACATTGGCGAAGAAATGAAAGGCCCACGGCAAATCACCTCCATCTCAGATTGAGAGAAGGGGCCCGAGATTCAACCTTTGTCTAGTTCCTTGTCGCAAAAGTCCGATTTGGGTTATAAGTGGTTGGAGAGGCTTACAGACTTATAGGCCACTTACGATTCACTTATACCTATCTTACAGCCATGTTGTAAGTGCCTGTAAGTACTTATAAATTTGCCGCCTTCCGCCAATATTCTTGGGAATTCAATGCTCAAGGGCATTCAAACATCGTAGCAATCAAGTGTATTCAATTTCCAGCACGTAAAAACCAGTCAAAATTGGCTACATCGTCTAGATAAAATGTCCGCTCCGCCTTGTTGCACCCAAGCAATTAATCATGTGAGCACCGCGGACCAGATATCAAGGCAGAATGAATATTGTTTGGCCGTCTTCGAGAATTCGGCAGTTCTTCCATAAGGTCTTGGGCCGCCAACTAGACCTCTTGAACAGTCGTACGAGCGTTATGTCCTCGGTTCTCCCGGAAGGGAGGCGGCACTGGAACAAGAATAGCAACCTCCCGAAAGTCAATGGATCATCGTCCATGTTGACAACCGAGAATGGCATATGGTGGGGTGGAGGCGAGTTGGGTGCAGAGGAAGCAGTCGATGAGTGAGATTGTGGCGTGCGCGACGGCAAGCTTCGCGCTCGGGTTCAGAGTCGGAGACGTGTGTCATTCAGAGTCTACTCGGTGAAGATTTGGAGGCATTGGGTCACTGGTGAGTGGGCTTGAATTGCGGCGCCAGCATCAGCCAAGTGGAGTACAGTGGAGTGGGTGATGTCACTCGCGTATATATTCCGCAGCACTGTGATGTTGCGACTCCACCTCTCTTTCCCTCCAACCACCACCTTCGCCTTGCTCCCCATGCATCCGACCCGCCACCAACAGCCGCTGCCCGCCCCGCTACCCGCCCCTCCGCTTGCAGACCGCCACAGACACGACCTTGGCCCCCCCTTCCATCCTCGCCGATGCCCTTGTGCACCCACCGCCGTGGCGGAGAGGCGCCACTTTGAGAGGTCTCAGTGTGTCATGTTACCTCTCAGGACTGCTCTCCTCTAACTATTCTTGTAGTGTTCTATTCGTCTGTACTCATGGCTTCGTGTGAGTCGTCGCTTTCCTAATCATCAACTCACTGACTCTTTTGCAGGTCTAACTTTCGTCGTACGTTGAAGGATTTCGTCAAGGGATCGTACGCTTCATCCAATCTGGCCGGATCCCCTTTTAACCATGGCACCACAGTAACCATCCGCGTATTCGATGGGCCGCCCGATGTATTTGGTGCTCGCCAAATGGTATCCTACCGGTCCATTTTTCGTATCTCTATCCATTTACCTTGCATTTTTGCAATTCAATATTATTCTTCTTCTTGACTGTGTCATAAGTAAGCAGCTACGTGAAGGGTGGAGGGGCGGGCTTTTTTTTTTTTTGGCCGCCACCGCAGGTTACTTATAACCGTTAATAATGGCCTTAAGCACTTATAAGTGCTATAAGTTCCGTAAGTAGTTACAAATCATTACAGCGCCTTTTTGAGCCTTACAGGCACCCCGAGAATATTACAGGGTTATACAGGCTTGTAAGAACCTGTACGCGCCCATAACTCATTTCGGACTTTTGCGACACTCCTTCAAATACTTCTTGATTGTCTCACAATGCTCATGGACAGGTAGGTTATTGGGGATGATGATGGTGTGTTCCAGTGTTGGCATTTTCCCAAGTGGAAACCCGTTTCTGAGGTTACTGATTAATTGCGGGTATTGATGTGTGAGGTGATGCTTTGACAGTTGTTACGAGAAAATTCCGGCATTGTATGGGTGGATGATGCGAAGAAGAGTTCTTGGTGAAACAGGGAGGAGAGAGGGTTGGGCACCAGGCGGAGGGAGACAAAAGGACGCAAGTCTGGATAAGAAGGTTTAGCAGAGACATCACCAAGAAACGAAGGCTCAAGAAATTCTGGGAGGCAAGTGGGATCCAGGTGTGAACACGCGCCATTGTGGAAGCGCAGGCAATGGGGATCTTCTGGGAGAGTGGGGTGGCTTCTGCCGCAGAGGCTGCAAATGTGCACACGCTCACTAGGATGTGCCATGGCGCCCTCGGGTTTGCTTGGCTGGTTGCAATTCCAGCCAATGCAGATGGCTTGATTGTTTTAAGCAGACTTGAGCTGCCCGTCTTCATAGAAGAAGGTGAATGGTTGTCAGTCGTTGAAATCTTTCTGTGAGCCTTTGAATTCCTTGTGTTTCTGGACAGTGTGATTTTCCATGCAAATGAGGCAGACAAGGGGTCGCCGTTTGCGATAGTCATTGTTGGGAGCTTGCTCAGTGCC